AGACTGTTCGGTCTTGGCGACTTCGGCGGCTTCCGCGGCGGCGACTCGCGCCTTCTCTTCTTGTCGGGTCGCGTCGGCCAGAGCGGCTCGCGCCGCTGCCGCCAGCTCGACCGCTTCCGTCTTGGCTCGGTTCGCCTCGTCGCGTTCGGCTTCGGCGTCGGCCTTTTCGTCGGCGGCTTGTTCCGCTTCGGCGAGAGCGAGCTTCGCTTCTTGCCGGGACTGGTCGGCGGCCGCTTTCTCTTGTGCCGCGACGGCCGAGGCTTCTTCGGCTTCGGCCAAGGCGAGCTTGGCGTCGGCTTCCGTCTTCTCGAGTTCGGCGCGGGCAGTCAGCAGGTCGTTCCCGAGGCTGAAGCTAAGCCCAATAAAGCAGAGCGCCAGCACCAGCGAGACCGCCGTCGCGTACTGCAGCGTCTTAAACCAGGCGAGCCGCGCGTTGCGGCTCTTCTGGTCGGTGAGGACGGACGCCCGCAGTTCGGCGTCTTCTTCGCTGCGCTCGTCGAGCATCGACAACGCCAAGTCGTAGTCGCCGTTGGCGTGAGCCGCCTCGGCGAAGAGCCGCTTGGTCTTCGTAAGCCGGCGGGCCGCCTTGCGGTTGCCGCCCCACAGGTCCAGCGCGTTCTGATAGCCGTGCTGGGCGCGGGAGAAGCTGGCGTACGTCGCGTTCGCGTCGGCGTCGGCGTCCTGGCGGAGCTTCTCGGCGGCGCGGAGCTCTTGCGACGCCCGCTTCGCGATCAGGATGCTCTGGGCGTGCGCTTGATAGGCCTTGATCGCGTCGATGAAGTCGGTCGCGGTCGCGTACCGGTCTTCCGGGTCGGTCGCCATCGCTTTGTAGGCGATGTCGAGCAGCTCGCTGGAGCGGCGGACCTTGATGATCTCGTTCTTCGCCGCGTTGCGGAGGCACTCGAACGTCGTCTTGCCGCGATGCGGCGCCCGGCCGGTGACGATCTTGAACAGCAAGGCGCCGAGGAGGTAGACGTCGCCGTAGGTTCCCGCCGGCGAGCGCTTGCGCGACGAGGACACGCCCTTGCCACCGGAGACCCGTCCCTTGGCGTAGTCCAGGTACTCCAGCGCCGTCTCCGGCGGCATGTAGATCGGCGTGCCGGCCGGCTGGATGTGCGACCCGTCGTCGAGCCTCGCCGCGAGGCCCCAGTCCATGACGAGCACCTCGCCGAAGCTGCCGAGGCGGACGTTGCCCGGCTTGAGGTCGCGGTGCAGGACCTGCTTCGAGTGGGCGAACGCGATCGCCTGGGCGACCTGGATCAAGATCGCGAGGTTCTCTTCCTCGCTCATCCGCTTGATCGAGTCTTCCCAGTCCTCGCCCTCGACGAACTTCATCGCGTAGAACGGCAGGCCGTCCGCGGCGAGGCCCAGGTCGTGCACCGGGGCGATGTTCGGGTGCTCGAGCTGGCCGGTGATGACCGCCTCGCTGATGAACTTGTTGCGATCCGACTCGCTCGAGCTGAGGTCCGACTTGATCTGCTTCAGCGCCACGAGCCGGTCCATCGACTGCTGCCGCGCCTTGTAGACGACGCCCATGCCGCCCTTGCCCGCCTCGCCCTCGATCTCGTAGTCGAGGCCGTCGCCGTCGTAGCGCAGGGCGGCCGTTTCGTCGCCGATCCGGAACGCCCGGAGCCGAACCGACTCGGATCCGACCACTTGCGAGTGGCCCGGCTTGAGCGAGTCGGATCCGCGGCCCTCCTCGAGCGGGCCACGCGGGATCGTCCGTCCGGACGACAGCCCGGTGATATCGATCGGGTCGGGCGTTTCGACGCGGTCGCTGCGCCGGTGCGTGTCGAACGCGAGCGTCGCCGAGTTGCGGTCGTCGGACACGTCTTCCGCGTGGGTGCTCGGCGACTCGGTCTGACCCGGGTCCGACCCGGGCCGGTCCGACTCGTCGGGCCAGTCGGAGTCGCCGAAGCTCGACCCGCCGGCGCTCGAGCCGGGTTGGTCCGAGTCGGCGCGATCGGAATCGGCAGGCAGCGTGACGTCGTCTTGCAGGTCTTCCTGAGCCCGCGCAGCGCCGCCGATCATCTGCGTCAGGTCGGGTGGCGTGAGGTCGTCGTCGACCTCTTCGGCTTCCACGGCCGGCGGGGGCTCGGGAGCGCGTTGGCCGGTCAGGTCGATCGTCGCGTCGCGCTCGTCGCGCTGCTGGTCGAAGGCGCTGTAGTCGATGGTCGCGTCCATCGGCTGCGCGTCGTCGTCCGCTTCGTCGCTCTCTTCGAGCATGAGGTCGAACGAGTCGTCGTCGTCGTCGGCGTACTTGCCGCCGAAGACCATCGTCATGTCGGGCTCCTCGTCGCCGCCCGCGTCGGGCGGCGGGGTGCCATCCCCGCCGTCGATTCTTGGCGACGCCTCAAGCGTGTTCTCGATCGCCGAGTCGGCCGAGGAGGGATCGCTCGGCGAGTCGCCCGCTTCGTTCGACTCGGCGTCGTCCGACGCGGCGAAGCTCGACCCGCCGAGGCTCGAATCGGAGCCTTCGCCGACACGCATCGTCGCGTCGGCCGGGCTCCCGCCCGCCAGGCTGGAAAGGTCCCAGTCTTGCGACTGCGGATCGATCATCTTGTCGCAGTGCGGACAACTGATCGACTCAACAGCGCTGAGCGTCTCGAGATCGAGCTCGGCGAGGCAATGGGGGCAGACGGGCATCGCGGGGCCTCAGACGCGTGTCATGACGCGAGTCGGCAGGGCGGGGCGGTGAAAACGCAAGCCTCTATCTTAGTCCCGACCCGGGCGAATCGAGCCGCTGGTAGGCCCGTTTTTCCCGTGGTTCAGGCGAATCTCACCAGTCGGCGCAGCCAACGCAGGCACCAGCCGGCGACGCTCTCGTTGCCGGTCACAATCCGGGCGGCTCCAACCGCTCCCGGCTGGGCAGCGGTCGCCGAGTCGGTGAGCTCGACCGTGACGCGGTACGCCTCACCCGCTTCGAGCGAGCCACGCAGCGAAGCCTCGAGCGCCTGCTCGACCGCGGGCGCCTCGGACGACGCGTCGGCTGGCTTCGCCGCGGGGGCGATCGCCGTCACGACGCCCGCGAGCACGGGGTTCGGCCGACGGTCGAGGGCGAGCCGAACGGGTGCGCCGATCGTCACCAGGCCGCTGTCGGTTTGGTCGAGCAGGACGACAGCCTGCAGCGGACCCTCCTCGACGCGGCAGACGATCTCGCCGCGCTCGAGTCGGCAGCCCGAGTTGGGGGCGTCCAGCGGCGCGCCGGACCACGTCGGCAACTCGCCGTCCGCGAGGTTGGGCTCGGTGTCGTCGGGTCGGTCGGCGGGGCGCAGCACGACGCCGCTCGCCGGCGCTCGAAGCTCGCGACGGCGTTGTTCCGCCTCGTGCGTCAGTCGTTGTCGTCTTGCCTCGGCGAGAGCGACCTCGGTCCGCGCCACGTCGGTGAACAACGCCGGGTCAGACTGAGACCGCGTGCGGAGCCCGCTTAGCTCGGCCGTGAGGCCCGCTTCCTGCTCAAGCAACTCGAGGCGGCGCATCTCGGCGTCGCGATCGATGAGCTCGGCGAGGTGTTGTCCCGCCTCGACCGTGTCGCCGTACGCGACGAGCGGCTCGATTGTCCCCGCGGCGCGGGCGACGACCTCGTAGTTCGCCGCGCGTTCCAGCCGGAACGGGGAGCGGAGCGACTGCTCGATCGTCATCGACCCGATCCACCAGATCGCGCTTGCGGCGAGGGCGACGACGGTGGCGAAGCGGGCCCAGCCGCCAAGGCGGTTCGCGCCCGGTCCACGGGGAAGCAGGCGAGCGGTCGATCGCACGCCGGCCAACGCGAGTCCGACCAGCGACAGGGCGACGAGCGTGTCGCCGACAGCGGCGAAGCCGGCTTCGGATAGCACCCGGTGGGCGCCCCACAGGATCACCGCCAGCAGGGCGAAGACGTAGATCGTCGACGCGAGGCCGTAGGCCGCCAGCCGCCAGCGCGGCGCGTCAAACGGCTCTTCTTCGTCCCGAGCGCCTCGAACCCATCGACCCACCGGCCCCCACAGCGCCCGGCGGCTCTGCTCGTGCAGGTTGGCGACGCCCCAGGCGTCGGCGAGCACGTAGTAGCCGTCGAACCGCAGCAGCGGGTTCAGGTTGACTAGCAGCGTCGACACCGAAGAGACAACCACCAGGTAAAGAGCCAAGACCCGGAGCGGCCCGTCCTGCAAGACGAGCCAAGCCGCTCCGGCGGCGACCGCGAACATCGCCTCGAAGTAGACGCCGCCCAACGCGACCGCGACACGAGCGCGCCGCGAGGCGAGCGTCCACGCGTCGGTGACGTCGCAGTACAGGCACGGGAACAACGCGAGGAGCAAGACACCCATCTCGTGGCACTCCGCGCCGCGGGCGCGGCACGCCAGCGCGTGGCCCAACTCGTGCCACGACTTGGCGGCGACGACCGCCGCGACGGCGAGCAGCGCGTAGCTCGGACGCCAGAGCTCGAGCAGACGTCCCGCTTCGAGCAGCAGCTCGTCCGCTTGTCCGAGCAGGCCCACGCCAACGATCGCTGCGGCGATCGCCAGCAACGCGATGGCCGGCCAACTGAACAACGCTCGGGCGAACCCGGTCAGCGGCCGCAGCCACGGCGACGGGTCGAAACTGGGCAGGCGGATCGCCAGCGGGGAGAGCGCCCGCGCCCACCATGGCTCCGCGCCCTTCGCCAGGCGTTGCCGTGCTTCGGCTTGGCCCGCTTGGTCGGAGACGAGCAGCGACGACTCGAACATCGCCGCGCAGAATGCCAGCACCCGGTCGCCCGTGGTCGGTTCATTGGGGAACCGTCGCTGGTAGAGGCGACGCAACTGGTCGACCGTCAGCGGTTCGCGGAGGGCGCGGAGCAAGAAGTGCTCGCGCTCGCCGAGACGAAAGTACTGCAGCGACAGCGGGTCTTTGACAACGACCGACTCGGCCGCGATCGCGCCGTCGGGGGTTTGCTCGACGAACACCAGGTCGGGGCGCGCCCGCAGACGGCCTCGCTGCAGCCAGCCTTCGGATCGGCTCACGGTCATGCCCCTCGATCGGCGTCAGCGGTCGCTCGCGGCGACGGAGGCCGCCTCATCGGCGCTCTCGCCCGCGATCACGACGCGTGCGGTCAGCCCGGGGCGGAGTTTCAGCTCGCCGTTGTCGACCTCGGCCCAGAAGCGGACCTTCGCGTCGACCGGCTCTGCCTCGGGGCTGACGAAGACGACCCGGCCTCGCGCGCGCAGGACCTCGCCGCCGGGGAGCGGCGCCTCGACCTCGACGGGGCGGCCGACGAGACCTTGCAGGGCGTCTTCGACGCGGACGTAGCCCTCGACACGCAGGGCGTCGACGCGCACGAGGCGGGCGATCGTCTCGCCTTCCTTGACCCACTCGCCGGCGCGGTGCGGCGTCTCGGCGACGACGCCCCCGATCGACGCGGCGATCGCGAGTCGTTCGACGCGGTGCTCCGCCAGGCGGAGGTCCGCTTCGATCCGCTTCATCTTCGCGGCGAGCATCTCCCGCTCGAACGCGGCGTGTTCGATCTCCAGCTCGGTTCGTTCGACGGCGAGCCGCAGCCGGTCGACCTCCTTGGCCGAGACGGTGTTCGGCAGGGTGGCGTTCACTTGCGTAGCGCGGCCCAGTTCGGCCTCGGCGACTTTGTTCTCCTTCGCCGCTAGGCGGACGCGGACGTCGCTCTCCGACTCGCGCCGGGCGATTGCGAGGTCTTGCCGGACCAGCTCCGCGTGCAGGCGTTGCTCGCGGGCGTCGATCTGGGCGATCGACTGGCCGGCCGAGAGGGTCGCGCCCTCGCGGACGTTCAGCTCGAGCAGCACGCCCGACTGTGGCGCCGGCACCGCGACCGCTTCGGCGACGGTGAGGATCGACGACCGGACGACGATCGGCTCGCGGTCGGCAGCGCTCGCCACGGGGCCGATCGCGCACAAGGCGAAGAAGCAGGCGACGCGCAGCGCGTCGGCGCTAGAACCAGCGGCGTTGAATCGCTTCGATCGCTTCATGCAGCCAGACGTAGACGAGGGGGTGTTTCCCGCAGTTGATTTTAGCGGCCACCCCCAAACCGCTGCGAGCAGAAAGCGCGGCGTCCTCGTCCGGCGACGCTACGACCCGCACAACCGGGACCCCCTCGGCGTTGGCGCGAGTGGCCTCGGCGATCGACACGACCCGGGCGAGACGCGTCGTCGCCGGGTCGGCCCGGACGACGTACTCCACGTCGAGCGGCAACCCCTCGCTCTGGGCCTCGAGCAGGTGGCCGCTGCGGTGGTCAGGCGCTTCGAGCTCCAGCCGCCAGCGCTGGTCGCCGGCGACCTCGAGCAGACGCTCGCCGCGGCGCACGGGACGATCGGACAGGTAGTCCTGCGGCCGCCAACTGACGATGAGCCCGTCGATCGGGCTGAGCACGAGCAGTTCCTCCGCCTGCTCGTCGAGTAACGCTTGCTGCGCGAGTTGGTGCTCGAGCCGCTCGCGCAAGGCGGCGGCGCGGCTCGCCAGTGCGGTGCGGTCGGTCGGCTCGTCTTGCCCCGGGAGCGCAGCTCGCAGTTGGGCGGTCGAGAGCCCATCGAGCTCCGCTCGCGTCATCGCGATCGACTCGGCGACCTCCTCGCGACGCACCTTCAGGTCGGGAGACGCCATCCGCACGAGGGGTTGGCCGGCGGTGACGCGGTCCGATTGCTTGACGAGGACCTCTTCGACCACGCCGTCCATAGACGCGAACACGCGTGCGTGGTCGACCGGCTCGAAGCGTCCGTCGACTGGCACCCAGAGCGTCGCCGGCGTCATCGCCACGAACGTCGCGCCGACGATCGCGACGGCTGCCAGTGCGAGCCGGACCCCGGCGTTGCGGAGTCGGCCCGACCAGCCGCCAACACGCGCCCTGGAAGCGGCGACGCCGACATGCCGACCGATCGCTGCGAGCGTCGCCAGCGCCGATGTGTCGTTCCGATGGCCGAACCACTCCGCGAGCAGCGCGACTTCTTCCGCGTGAGAGGCGGAGTCGTCATCCGGACTCGACGGGCAAGGCCAGACGCAGAGCGAGCGGACGCCCGACGCGTCGAGGTACTGATCCACCTCGCGGCTCACCTGCGGCAGCAGCGTCTCGTCGCTGGGCACGACGAGCGGCTCGCCGAGCTTCGCCGCGGTGGCGACGAGCTGGCGCATCTGTCGGGTCGCGTCGCTGCGGTGGCTCAAGCGGTTCACGCCGCTCGCTGCCAGCGCACGCCAGCTGCTTCCGCGACGCTGGAACACCGAGAGCCGATCGCACCCGACCAATCGGCGCCCCTCTTCGGCCGCTTCCCGCGCGATCGCCGGCAGACCCCGCCGCGAGTGCAAGCGGAGGAGCAACGCCTCGACCCGCCGCAACCGCTCTTCGCCCGCCTTGAGATCCGCCGCCGCGCGGCGTAGTTCGTAGCGTTCGGCGACTTCGCCGACGGCCGACGCGAGTTGGAGTCGCCGCTCGGCCGAGGCGATGGCCTCAAACCCGAGTCGGAAGGCGAGCACGCCCTGGGCGCCGGTCGCCCCGTGGACGGGGCAGGCGATCACCGGGCCGGCGTCGGACCGCTCGCTCGCTGCGGTGACGATCCGCGGTGCGCCCTCGGCCCCGAGCCGGGCGACACGCTCATCGCTGAGCAACGCCTCTTGCGCGACGCGATCGGTCGGCCAAGCGGCCGGCGCCACGTCCTGCACGCCGCTGCCGGGCAGGGGCGTGTAGTCGGCCGCGTCGGCGCCGAGCGCCGCGGCGGCGGTCGGCAGCAAGTCTCCGTAGAAGTCGCCCGGCGCGCCGGGGTCGGCGGTCGCGGCGAGTCGGTCGAGGTCGTCGAGGAAGCGGTCGACTTCCGTCATGCTTGGTCCGTTGGGGCCGACGCCGAGCGAGGTCCGCGAGCGACCCCCGACCTACTCCGCCGTCCGCCGGCCGCGTCGCTGGCGCTCGACACGCGTGAACGCCACGCCGTCTTCATCTAGCTTAAACGCCCCGGTGCGTTCGAGGCGACTCCGCCACACGGCGACGGCCGCTCCCGCGGCGACCAAGCCGCCCGACGCGGTGCCTTCGCCACGCGTCTCGAGAGCCGCGATGGCTGACGCGCGGCTCGACTCACGCCCGTCGCGCCACATGCTGGCGCCCGAGTCGTCGATCGCCGGGGCCGCTTCGCCGGGGTCGTCGAGCGGGAAGAGGTCCTCGGCGCCTTCCTGCGGCAGACCGTCGCCGGGCGTCACGTCGATCGGGTCGAGGCCGTTCGCTTCGGGACCGATCGGCAAGCCCTCCAGCCAAGCCTCGTCGAAGGCGGCGTCGACTTCCTCGTCGGTCAGGTCGCCCTTGATCCACTCCTCGCTCTGCACCTCGCGGCCGGCCGACTCGACCAGGATGCGGTACGAGCCTTCGGAGAACGGGCCGTCGTCGACGAGGTCGCGGATTTCTTGGACGAAGTCGCCGTCGGCGTTGTCCCACGTCTGCGGCCAAGCCTCGCCGGGGATGTCGCGCGCCCAGTCGTCGTTCTCCCAACGGCCGAAGAAGATCACCTCGGCCTCGGTCGTGGCGGCCGACTGGCTGTCCTCGAGCTGGGTCCGCTGGGCGGTCGGCGTCGTCACCTCGCGAGCGATGGAGACCTCGGTCGTCTCGTACTGGGTCGGCGTATCCAGCTCGGTCAGCAAGAAGAACCCGGGGGGCGGCGTCGTGATGATCCGTGGCGCGAGCGTGAAGAACGTGCTGTTCAGGTCTCGCGGGCCCTCCTCGGAGGCGCCCTGGTCGAACAGGTTGATCGCCGGGTCGTTGTAGATGCGGACGGTTGTCGGCAGCGTGTCGCGTGCGGGGTTGGCCGGCACAAACGAACGATCGTAGTTGTGCGTCGCGGTGAACACGCGGAACGCGTCGCCCAGGCTGTCGTACGCCACGGCGTCGTCGGCCGGGCCGTCCTCGAGGTTGGTGAGCTGCGTGCCGGGGTCCTCGATCCGTTCGATCGGCGTCTGGGTGACGTCCGCCTTCGCCCGCGAGCCGTTCACCTCGGCGAGGTCGAAGCTGTCGCGGATCGGCGTCTCGGGTCCGGCGACGCTCTCGTCGCGGACGTTGGCCACGTCGGCCCACTCGAATTCGATCAGCAGGTTGTCCTCGCCACGCGAGCCGACCGCGAGGGTGACCCTCTGCTGGAAGTCGTTGCCGGCGGTGACGAGCCCCGTCGTGGCGGCGTTGACCGACTCGGACGGGGCGTCGAGCAACGCCCGCGGGCCGACCTCGCCATCGGCGCCGCTCGAGCCTTCTTCGGCGAGCGCCGTGACAACGCCGGTCGCGCTGCGGAGCTTGGTCGTCCGCTTGACGACGCTCTGCTGCTCGGGGTCTTCGGTGTCAATGCCGAGGGTCCCTCCCGCGATGGCGGTTAGCACGCCGCCGGCCATCGAGACGACTTCGACGTCGCGGTCACCGTCGGCGGCGAAGGTCTCTTCGAAGCGGCCCGCGCCGGTGAAGAGCAGGTCGCCCGTCGTGTCGAGGTAGGCGTTGCCGGGCGAGCCGTCGCCATCGCTGACGACCAAGCCGCGGGCGACGCCGTCGTCGACGACTGTCGCCGTCGCGTCGTCCACCGCGCCGACCACCACGGAACCTTCGACTTGAACCACGAGCGAGTAGAGGTCGCCCGGGTCCACGGTCTGGTTCCGCTCGGCGATCATCGCCGGCGTCGCGGCGCCCGCCGGTTCGACGAGGTCCTCAAGCCCTTCGGCGCGACCGTCTGCGTCGGTCCGGACCACGACGTTCGCGTCGGGCCGCGTCCCGTCGGGCGAGTCGATGCTCACCTCGACCGGGGCGAAGTCGGTCCCGCCCGTCGTCGGAACTCGATCGCTGAAGCGATCGGAGACGTCGGCGTTGTCGGTGACGCTCGTCCGGTAGTCGATCGGCGCGCCGGCCTTGAGCTGCAGGTTCGGCAAGCCATCCGCGGACGTCGGCGTGGCGGCGCTGAGCAGCAACGCGCCGTCTGAGGCGAGCGCGATCCGGTTGGCGGTCAGCGCCGCCGGCGCGACGCCACCTGCGCCGACCTGCGTGATGTCGCCCGTTGCTGTCAGGTAGTACGTGCCGGCAAACGCCGGATCGACGCCGCCCGCCGTGCGGACGTTGACCGACGAGTCGGCTTGCACCGAGACGTTGTGCGCCTCCAGGGCGACGTACTCCGCTTCGTCGAACAACGCAGGGTCGTCTTGTCCGAACGAGGCGCCGCCGTCACCGAGGACGACGTCGGCCGCCCCCGAGTCGGCGCTGAGCTCGAATCGCGACGCGACGACGTCGGCCGTGTCGTCGTCGGTGATCGCGCCTTCGGACTCGATGAACAAAGCCATCGCCCGGCTGAAGGAGCCAAGCACGGTGCCGCTGTCTTCGCCGATGCGGATGTCGCCGCCGGGGGCGATCAGGCTCAGGCTGCCCGCGTCGAAGACGGCGCCCGCCGGGACGAAGCCTCCCTCGTTGTCGACGCCCAGGTTGATCTGCCGCGGCGACTCCCCGTCGGGCGTCGCGTCGATCTCGAACATCGCGAGGCCGTCGATCACCAGCGAGTTGTCGTCGGTTGGTCCGTCGGCGAGCGTGATGCCGGTGGTCGCGTCGAAGGTCGCCTCGCCGCGGACCCGCATCGCCGCCGTGTCGAGGTCGGTGATCGGACCCTGGGACGAGACCTGCAGGTTGTCCGCGTCGATGCCGGAGAACTCGGTGCCGGACGCTTCGTTCACGAGCACGTCGCTGCCGATGAGGCCGAGCGTGCCAAAGTTCACGCTGGCGCTGTCGAGCGTGATCGCGTCGACGCCTGCGTCGAACAACGCCGCCCCGTCGACATCGATGACGGCGCCGTCCTCATCGGTGATCGGCCCCATCGACGCCAGGTCGAAGGTCGTCGCGTCGACACCCGACAGGGCCATGCCGCTCGCCTCCCTGACGAGCACGTCGGTCCCTTTCACGCCGAGCGTCCCGAAGTTGACGCTCGCGTTGTCGAGCGTGATCGCGCTGTCCTTGGCGAAGAAAGACGCCGCGCCGGAGACACTGATCACGGCGCCCGACTCATCGACGATCGGCCCGTCCGACGAGATCGCCAGCGAGGCGGCCGTCACGTCGCCGAGGTTCGTGCCGGACGTCTCGTTCACCAGCACGTCGCCGCCAACCAGGCTTAGCGTGCCGAAGTTCACGTCGCCGGTGACGGCGCCCATCATCGGCACTGTTGCCGAATCGAGCGTGATCGCGTTCGCGCCGGCGTCGAATGACGCGGCGTTCGTGACGTTGATCACGGCGTCGGCAGAGTCGGTGATCGGACCGAGCGAAGTCAGCACGAGCGACGACGCGTTGACCCCCGACAACTCGGTTCCCGACGCTTCGTCAACCAGCACGTCGCCGCCGACAAGGCCGAGCGTTCCGAAGTTGACGCTCGCGTTGTCTAGCGTGATCGCGTTGGAGGGCGTCGAGTAACGCCGCGCCGTCGACGTCGACGACGGCGCCGGCTTCATCGGCGATCGGACCTGCCGACACGAGGTCGAACGTCGTCGCGTCGACACCCGACAGCGCCGTGCCGCTCGTCTCGCGGACCAGCACATCGGTTCCCTTCACGCCGAGCGTTCCGAAGTTGACGCTCGCGTTGTCTAGCGTGATCGCGCTGTCCTTGGCGAAGAACGTCGCCGCGCCGGACACGTCGATAATCGCGCCGGGTTCGTCAACGATCGGCCCGTCGGATGAGATCGCCAGCGAAGCGGCCGTCACGTCGCCGAGGTTCGTGCCGGAGGTCTCGTTCACCTGCACGTCACCACCGAAGAGGCTGAGCGTGCCGAAATTCACCTCGCCGGTGACGGCGCCCATCATGGGAACCGTCGCCGCGTCGAGCGTGATTGCGTTCGTACCGGCTTCGAGGCGCGCCCAGGCCGCGACGTTGATCACCGCGTTCGCCTCGTTACCTATCGGTCCGGCCGAAAACAACGCCAGCCTTGAAACATCAACGTCCGATAGCGTGGTGCCGCTATTCTCGCGGACTTCTACGTCGGTGCCCTTTAGCGCTAGCGAGCCAAAGTTGACTGAATCGTTGAGCCGGATGGCGCTGTCTTTCGAGAAGAAAGTCGCACTGCCGGCGACGTCGATGACCGCCCCGTTCTCATCGACAATCGGTCCGTCGGACGAGATCGCCAGGGTGTCGGCCGTCACGTCGCCGAGATTCGTGAATGACGTCTGGTTCACCAGCACGTCTCCGCCGAACAGGCTGAGCGTGCCGAAGTTCACCTCGCCGGCTGCGGCGCCCATCATGGGGACCGTCGCTGCGTCGAGCGTGATGTTGTTGGCTCCTGCATCGAGGGTGGCCCTACCCACGTTCAGCGTCGTGCCGGCGTCATCCAGGATTTCGCCGTCAGTTGCCAAGGAGAGATCGCCAGCGGCATTGTCACCGGTGAGCGTAGCCGGCCCATCGAGGCCGATCGATACCGATCTGTTGCCGAAGAACCGAAGCTTGCCAACCGTAGCGACAGCGTCCATGGCGGCGCTCTGCCCACCGACGTTGATCGCCGTGCCGTCGCCGTCCGCGATGAAGCTGGCGACGCCGCCAACAACGAGCCGATTGGTAGTTCCGACCGTCGCGTCGTCCGCCAAGGCGATGCCGCCGGGGCCCTCAAAGGTTGCGTCACCCGCTACTTCGATCGCTGCGTCCGAAGTGTCCGAGATAGCGCCGTTGGAGGTGATCACCAAGAGCGACGCGTCGACGTGCTCAATCAGCGTGCCGTCATCTTCTTGCACGACGACGTTCGCGCCATCAACGGCAAGGCTTCCGAACAGCGTGTTGACGTCCGGTCCAACCGTGATGTCGTAGCGGTCGTCGCCGTCGCGGGCGACGAGTGTCGCCAGG